TTAAAAGATATAAATAAGTCCTGAAACAACCAAACACTACTGAGCTGAAGGGGGAGGTATGACAATTAGATTAGATGGACAATAAAAATATATGTTAACAATGAGTGTTTCATCGTTTTGGAAAAAGTAGATAAATAAAACTCTTTGCATAAAAGATTGCATAATTTTGGATAACGCAGTAGTTTCTTATGATCGAAATCACAAAACGAAGAGTTTTGAACATATTGTCCCATAGACTATGCGGTAGTTAATAGTAGGGGGTGAGAAGAAATGCTCAATTTTCAAGTTAAAAAAATGATAGGCTCGGGCCACCTACCACTAAAAAATGTGTTAAAAATAGAAAGCAAGGAATAAGGAGGTAAAGAAGTGTATAAGGAAGTACTTGACTGGGAGAAGGGAGCAATACGAGAGTTTAGAAAGACAGTGGAGAAAAGGATCAAAGGGATAAACTACTTAATTTTTCATTAAAACTAATAGTCATATATAACAATATGATCATAGTAATGCAATTGAAATGTCAAGTATTATTTGTAATTATTATTAATGAATAATTTAAAAAAAACTCCACTTGCTATAATATCTCAATTTTCAAGCACAAATAACGCGCAATTAATTTGCATAAATTAAATTTCGATACCTTAGTGGGTTTTGAATAAATCGACTTTGAATTTCCCCTGAACCCGCGATAGTTTTCCTTTCTTTTTAAACAAAATTGATGAACGCACAATTAGAATTAGAACCCGCAAACGATGCACAATTTATTCGTAAAGTTTAAATCAGAAGATTATTTATATTGGGTGCCAGTTTCGCAGATCTGGCTTCAATTTCTATTATGAAAGGTAGAAGTAAAGAGAACTAACTCTGTTATGAAAAAAAGAGACCGTCAAACTGTGTTAAATTATTGAACTGTTATTTACTGCTTTTTTTCAACCTTGCCCCATATGTGGCGGTTCTTCTTACTCTACACTTCATGATTTCTATGATACTCGCCTTATAAGGTTTCCACCATAGACATATAATAATGGACATGCCCTAGCCGTATGTCGTTGTAATAATTTCTTGGCTTGAAAAGAGTGAGGAAGATGGCGTATGGTTTCGGGCTAGTGCTATCTCTTTCATGACACCCTACGCACTATCGTGAGAGAGATGGATATTGTCCGAAACGTCGTTCCAGCTCTTTCTTTTATTGTACCACAATTCTGATTACTAAGGCATGTCCACTAGTAAATGTCGATGGTTTCCACCTTGTCTATAGTTTCCATCACTGTATCACACAAAGACATATATTAATGGACGTGTCTTACTCGTATGTTGTTGTAATAATTTCTTGGCTCGAAAAGTGAGAGAGATGACGTATGGTTTCGGACTAGTGCTATCTCTTTCATGACACTTCACGCACTATCGTGAGAGAGATGGGTATTGTCCGAAACGTCGTTCCATCTCTTTTTGCTGTACCACAATTCTGACCGCTAAGGCATGTCCATTAGTAAACGTCGATGGTATCACACACCCTCGTGGGTGTCATCCTAAATACTAAATTGCCGACGCCTTTTTAATGAGGAATGCAAACAAATTTAGTACCATTAGTAAAAAGAAAAAAATTTTCTTCACTAATAAATAAAAGTAAAATAACATCATATACTGGATGGTTAACACATGGATTTCGAAATGATTTGAGTTTTTCAAAAAAAGAAATTGTACAACGTAGGTAGCTCACATGCACACAGCACCGTTACCAGTCAGTGGCTGCATGGATAAACACAATACATCGTTCTATCATGTTTCATTAAATTTTTCCAAGAATTTAAGGTGAATAAAATATGAGTCCATTTCAAGAAAACACTTTTTCTTTCTACTTACTGTACATCACTGAAATACCTATTCCTATAAATGTTCACAGATAATAATTATAATCATAGGAAGGGACGCGGCCATATTCTCTTAAACGTATCTTTTTAACTGAAACAGTTAGCTTTATTTTGATTTTTTAAATTCATAATAAAAAAAGTTTTTCTGGAACAGTTTTGATTGATTTTTTATTGAACTAAAAATCTACAGTAATAATTCTTATATCATCTGTGCATAA